CCTTTGAGGGAGGAACTTGATCCCCATTTCAGAGAAGACACTGAAGCTCAGAGAGTGCAAGCGCCTTGCCTCAGGCCACACAGCAGAGCGGGAACTCAAACCCAGAATAATGCGATGCCAATTCCCCTGCTTTGACCTTGGCCTGAGATTCCAGGTTAGGACTCCCCTGACGGCCCCTCTCTGAGTGACCTTGGGTGGGCCCCTTCCCCTCTCCTTGTAAACTGTAAACTTGTAAAAGGGGGGGCCGTCTTGAAAGACTGAAAGAAGCTCCGATTCTGGTTTCTGCAGCCTCAGACAGGAGACCGTTCCCTCCTCCTCCTCTCCCCCGTCTGGAGCCTGGCTCAGAGGTCCTGGAAGGTCATGGAGCTGGCGCCCCCGCAGTCCTGCAAAGGCCAGCAGGGTCCAGTTACTCGTTGGGGGTGGGGAGGGATAATGTCCGGGGGTCCTAATAGATAGACTGTCTGCCCCTGCCAACAGGCAAAGGAACACGCAGAGAATTCTGTTCCCTGGGTCTCATTAAGCCCCAGACTTAAATAACTGCTGACTGGGAAACAGGGAGGGCCAGAGGGGGCCCTGCCTGCCCGCCCCTTGCCCTCCTGGGCAGTCAGGGGCTCAGAGGACGGCACGCCAACCTGGAGGCAAAGGGTCTACTTTCCCATTTGCGGTTGGGAGCAGGTGCACCCCAACTCTGGGTCCCCTCAGAGGGCCCCACTGGGAGTTTAGGCTCCAGGCCCCCATCTGTGAGCTGGACTTGGTGGGGGGGCTGTTGGGCACTCTGGCCCCAGGTTCCTCCACCCTCTGCTGCCTTCTGCCAGCCCCAAAGAAGCGGGTGCTTAATTATCCGGTCACTCTATCCCTGCTTGGCCAGGCAGCTAAGCCCAAACATCTGGCCCCAGGGCCCAGGGCCAGGGTGGATGGCCAGCCCCCACCTACTGCTGGCCCTGACCTGGGCACCTCCCACGGGACAGCTGAGCCCTATCCTGTGCCTGCCAGCTTGCAACAAGCCCAGAACAGTAGCTGCAGAGGCCTAGCGAGCTTGACTGATGCAGAAAAAAAAAAAAACATTTGACAAAACTCAGCACCCATTCATGGTTGATGCGCACACGCACACACACACTCCTAGCAGAGTAGGAGCAGAGGGGGCTTCCTTAATCACAGGAAGGGTGGGAAGAAAGACACAGATCTGTCCTTTCCCATGGGCGAAGACTGTCCACGTAGAAAACCCCAAAGCATCCAGTGGACAAATGGTTAGAGTTAACAGGAGTTTAGTTAGGACGCAAGATCAGTACTCTACAATTGTGTCCCTTGCACTAGCAAGTGTGACCCGTGCCCTGGAAGCACGGACCTCACCAGCACCCCCTCAGACCCCTCCCCCGCCATCGGCATCTGCGTTTTAACAAGGTGGCCGGTGATTCGCGGCCGGCAGCTGTCACGACTGAGAAGAGCTGCTCAAGCCATTTGCATTATCTGTGTCCTAGACTGAACTGCAGAACTCCCACCCCGCAGCTTGTTCATAGAGGCCTTGCCGGGCTGGCCCCCTCTAGCCCCGGGCAGGCTCTTTCCCCCCCGCTGCAAGCAGGGTGCATGTGGGGTGCAGCTGGGTTGGTTTAATGCTTTGCCCATGTTCTTCGTGATTTTTGGTTCTGTGTTTTCTAAGTGAAGTCGATGGGACCGGAGCCCCGGCTCATGCACAGTCACTTCCCTGCTGGGTTCTGGTGGCTGGATGCCCCATCCCCGGTGAGGACCGGCCAGGGAGTAGCTCCATGCCCCAGGCTGAGGCGAGGGCGTGGCATCAACAGCGAATGGCAGAGGGCAAGGGGAAGGAAAAACTTTTGTTGAAGCAAGAAACCCCACATTTTCACTTTGCACTGGACACCCACGTGGTCCTGCTTGCAAGCTTGGGGCTTCCCAGCTGCGGGGAGCAGATCTTCCTTGAGGACCACCAGCCTGGGCACACTTTAGAGGTGCTGGACTGAGGTGAAGAGCAAAGACTCTGGAATCAGGCCAGAGCTGGGCTTGAATTCAGGCTCTAACACCTTTAGACTTGTTGGTCTTCGGAAAGTAGGTTCCTCCCCGTTGGGGCCTCAGTGGTCTTTTCTGTGAAACGGAGGGAAGGCTAGGGAGTGGGTCCTGTGTTTAAGGTCTTGGTTTGTGATTAATTCAGAGCTCTTAGAAGGAGGGCAGGGTTTTCTCTTTTCTCCTTGAAGGGAATTCAGAGGCCCCGAGAAGGAAAGAAGCTGATCAAGGCATGAGAAGCTTGGACATGCTTGTTTTGTGGGTTTTTTAGCCTCATTGAGATGAAATCTACATGCCATAAAATTCACCCTTTTCCCGTGTAAAATTCAGGGGTTTTTAATATATTCAGGGTTGTGCAACACTCACCGCAATCTAATTTTAGAACGACTCCACCACCATCACCACCCCCAAGAAGAAAAACTGTGCCCCTCAGCGGCCATTCCCTGTCTCCCCCCGCCAGCCCCACCCCCCGGCAGCCAGCAATCTTTCCTTCTCTGTGGGTTTGCCTATTCTGCACATTTTCATAATGGGGTCCTGCAATGGCTCATCTTCCAGAGCTGGCCTCTTTCTCCTCCTGTGGTATTTGTGAGGTCCACCCACGACGTGGCATGTGTTAGGGCCTCATTCCTTTCCATGGCTGAGTAGTAGTTCGGAGTCCGGTTGGACGACCTCGTGTTTCTCTGCTCAGCTGCCGATGGACATTTGGGTTGTCTCCACGGATTGGCTATTGTGAGTAATGTCGCTGTGAATATCTGTATGGACGCATGCTTCCGTTACTCATGGGCACAGACCTGGGAGCGGAATTGCCCGGCCACGTGGTAATTCTGTGTCTAGCGAGCTGATGAACTGCCGGGCAGTCTCCCACAATAGCGGCACCATTGTTTACGCTCTCTCTGTGCCGCATGGGGGTCCTAGCCTCTCCACACATCCTCACTAGCACGTGTCAGTGGGTCTGGAGGCTTCTGCGACCTGCCCCCACCTCCTATCCCTATGGTTTCCCTGCCCCAATGCCTGTGTCCTCCCCGGGAGGGATGACCACCTCACGACCCCTCATGCACACTCAGCCTTGCACATTCACACGTACACGGACACCGACACACACCCCCTCACATGCACCCCAGCCCCCCGTGTGGGACACCTTAGGCCACTGATGGTAGCGGGACATCCTAAAGTTGAAGACCGTGGACCCCGGGCAGGCAGGACCCAGTCTGGGTTCGGCTCCTGGCTCTGCTCCTGCCCCTGGCCCACGGTGGGAGCTCAGGTGCTGCCTTGGCCTCCCTGGCTGCCCTTGGGGCCCCCACCTGTGAATGAGGAGGATCCCACCAAGTGAACAGATGTTTCTGCCAGGGGGGCTGCTCGAGGAGCAAGCTGCTTTGTTAGTGTTAAGTATTATGATTCGTATTAAGAATTACCTAATTAAGCAACTAATACTTAATTAGCACTGCCCCTGCCCCCTTCAGGCCCTGCCTGGGAATTCTCGTCTTCCTGCCCTGCCCTGGGGCCCCCCACTGGGTCATTATCACCTCCCAGTTAATCCTCAGCTGCTGCCACCAATTAACAGCCTCTGCAACCTCCCCTGCCCCTGCCCATCTCCACTCCCCTCTTTCCCAGCTCCACCCTGCCCCAGCCACCTCCAGCTTTTTTGGGACACACTCTTGGCCTGATGGCTTGGGATAGTTCACATCCACGGATAAGATGGCGGGAGGTCCTGATCATGCTCCCCCCCCTTATGTACCTCCTTATCTTGTTCTCTCCAATGATCCCCTACTCCAGGAAGCTCACCTGGATTGCCCAGGACAGGGGTCAGTGTCACTAGTCCTCTGAATTGAACTAGATTCAAGTGTCTTTGGGGTCACTCCACAGGTGCTGTTAACACCCCCCCTCCCCAGTCCAGGCAACACCTAGGAGGCCACAGCAGGGGCCCTGGGCGGGGGGGGGGGGGGGCCTGGGAGAGAGTGACACACGATCCAGCTCTGAGTTGTAGCCTTGCTCTGGGCGGGTGGCCAAAGAAGGCGAGGAGAGGAAGACAGAGTGTTTGCAAACAGGGCAGCTGCCAAGAAGGGGCCGGGGTGGGGGGGGGGCGAAGGTGTGAAGGAGAGAGGGGCCCAGCTGGTGACTGGCAGCGGCGCCTGGGTGACTTTTCTCCTCCTGCTACACACACGTGCACTCAAGGTCTCGTGGATATGCACACACAGGCCCGATATCCGCACACACGGAGCCAGGCGCACGCAAACTTCCGTCCCGTCCCCCACCCCCACAGGCTCCAACGCTCGGACACATGAAACACACAGTCACGTGACCGTGTCTCCCCCACGCACCATGACGTGTGCACACCCACGGGCCCAGGCGCTCCTGGACACACGCATCTGCAGCAATTCCCGCCCCGGTCCAGTGGAAGCGCCTGTGCCCGGACAGACACCGAGGCCAGCCTCGGGCACGCAGCATAGCCACCCCGTGGGGCCGTGTTCTGCCACTCTGTCTCTCTGTCTGCCTGTCCGTCCCTCGCTCCGTCTCTCTGCCTGACAGCATGCTGTCCAGTCTTCCCCAAGCAGACAGACCAGCAGCAGCATGGAGACCTAAGTGCTGGATGAAGCTGGGTGCGAGAAGAGAGGGCACACCATCGAGAGGGTGACAGCCTGGCATGGGGGCAGAAGACACGGGGCCGAGGGAGTGAGACCCAGCCAGGGGGAGAGACAGGGCCGGAAGACAGGAGCACGGAGGCAGCCACAGAACCAGACGGGCATTTATTGAGCAAACATCTTCGGCCAGGACGGCTCCGGTTACGCGGGGTACCTCACAGGACGGGCGGGACCCCCGCCCCCCAGCAGGACACGCAGAAGAGACACACTGACCTCAGCAGACAGCTCGCAGGGGAGGAGCATCCCGGAGGGAAGGGAGCAGAGGAGAGGCGGCGGTAGGAACACGGGCCGGGGGGCCTCGCCGAGCAGGGCAGCGGAAGCCCCCAGGGTGTGCGGGAGGCGAGGTCAGGGGCCACAAGCCCGCGGGCAAGGCGAGCAGTAGGTGCCAGAGCCCTGGGGAAGAGGGGGACAGTGGGGCAGACACGTGGCCGTCTCAGCCCCGGCCCCGGCCACGGGAGGGACACAGAATGCCCACGTGGCAGGCAAGGAAGGCAGAAAGGGGAAACGGGCAAGAGAGAAGCCAAAAGCCACCACAAGAAGGCAGAGGTGACCTCAGGATGCGGGGCCCACCTGGTTCCCCTTCCGAGTCTCCGCGGGCAAGGTGGGCTCGGGCTGTCCCCCTTCCCCTCCATCCTCCTCTCTGTCCCCTTCCTCTGCCTCTTCAGCTTCCTCCTCCTGCTGCCTCCAGGGACGCCCCAGGTAGCCCCGGACGGAGTTCACCGGGCTCCTCTTCCGGGGGTGAGGGTCCAGCAGCCCCCACAGGAGACTGTCGGCCACAGGCGTCAGGCCGAACCAGGGCTGAGGACGGTCCTCGGGCTGGCCCGACGCCTGCCAGATGAGGAAGTCCTCGTAGAAGGGGTCGGCCTCGGCCAGGGGTTGGTCCCAGGGGAAGTAGCCGGTGAGAAGGCAGAACAGCAGGACCCCCAGTGCCCAAGCGTCCAGGGCAGGTTGGATGGGCAGGCCCTCGGGGAGGGGCGGGGGGCAGCAGAGCTCAGGGGCCGTGTAAGGGATGGGTGGCCCAGCCAGGCGCAGCAGCGTCCCACGGGGCCTCGTGTGGCCGAAGTCGGTCAGCTTGACCCACTGGCAGGCTGGGTCGCACACCAGCACGTTCTCAGGCTTGATGTCCCGGTACACCAGGCCACGGGAGTGGATGTGCTCCAGGGCCGAGGCCAGCTGGGCTGCACAGCGCTGGACTGCCCGCTGCGGGAGGCCCACCTGCGGGGGATTGGTGTCAGGGCCTCCTGCCCCCTCCCTGGACAGCCGGCAGGGACCTGAGGCCATGCAGCAGCTCCTCAGTCCCAGGGGTGCCCAGGCCACTGAAGGACCTCCGACAGACTTGCCACGGGGAGGCCCAGTGTGACCCCGTGAGGTCCAGTGAGGCCCCGTGTGACCCCATGAGGCACTGTGAGGCCCAGTGTGACCCCGTGAGGCACTGTGAGGCCTGGGGAGGTCTAATGCGACCCCCTAGAGGCCTGGGGTGAGTCCATGGGGGCAGGTGAATCTCCCTCGGGCACAGTGATGGTTCTGTGGTGTCCGTGAATTCCAGAGAGGTCCAGGGAGGGGCCCTCAGGGGCCTGCTCGGGGCCCGTCTACCCACCTTGGGCTGGATGAAGGTGATGAGGTCCCCATACAGGATGGGCTCCGTCAGGAAGCTGTAGGAGTCGGCCGACTCGATGCCAATGCCGTAGGCCGTGACTATGGCTGAATGCGTGCCCAGTGAGAGGCCCACGCAGAACTCATACAGGAAGCCACGGAGAGAGGTCGAGGCCTTTGGGAGTTGCTTCAGCGCCAGGGTGGTGCCTGGGGGCAGTGGGGAGAGGTGTGGAGGGAGTGTGAGAGCCAAGGGTGGCCCTGGCCGCCCCCCACCCCAGCCCTGACTTTCCCACACGCCATCGCCCCCTCCTCCAAACGCTGCCTCCCTGCCAAGCCGCCCTAAACGCAGCGTGGCCACGGAAACGCTGTCAGTGGTACTTAATAATAACAACAATGCAGCATTCGGTGAGTTTCTGCTCTGCTGCGATGGAGCAGATGGAGGGGGCCCCTTGGGAAACTGAACTCGGAACTTCAAACGCCATGCTTCCGGCAAACCGGTGCCCAAAAGCCACAGTGAATGCAGAAAAGATGCTCTGCCCCGGAGACTCCGTCCCACCGAGGAGGAGTCATTATGCCTAGTGACCTGGAGCGTAAGTCCCCTGGAGGCCGGAACTCTGGCTTCTTCACTTGCATAGTCACCCGCGGCCAGGACCCCGACCTCCCCCACCAGGAGCCTGTGAGTGATGGAGAAAGGTCACCTCCTCGCCTCACACGCTGACCACTCTCCTTCCGTTCCCCAGCTGGTTGCTGCAGCGCCTTTCCTAAGCATCTGGGATGCCCTGGACTCCCGCCATGATGGCACAGGCCGCCTTCTGTTTTGATGGCGTCCGTCTGTGCTGTGAGCGCTCGGCCCCAGCACCTCCCAGCCCAGGCGCCGGGCAACCGGAAGGTGGAAAGAAGCACGGCCCCTGTGCCCCGTTATGGCTTGTGCCCCCACGTTTGGTGGCACACACCTGGACCTCTTGCTCTTTGCATCGGTCTCTGATGTGGGCTGAACCGTGCACCCTCCCTCCCCGAACCCAGAGGTGGAAGTCCCCACTCTGGTTTCGTAGAATAGAACTCTATCTGGGGACAGAGTCTTGAAAGAGGTAAAGTGCGGTCGCGAGGGTGGGCCCTAGCCCACTGTGATTGGTGTCCTTGGAGAAGGAGGAAATGGACACAGACACGCAGGTGGGGACACACAGGGAGGAGCCCCGCCCACACCTGGGGGCGGGGGACTTTGGCCTCCAGAAGCCTGAGAAAACGAACTTCTGCTGTTTAAGCCCCCCGCCCCCCCCCAGTCTGTGGTGCTTTGCTGTGGCTGCCCCAGCACGCTTGCACTCTCTCTCCCTGCGCAGGCTGGAGCTCCTCCATGAAGGCAGGTCTCACGGGTTCAGCTCTGGGGTCCAAGCCCCAGGCACTCAGGACAGGGCCGAGCTCCCCAGGGGGCCTTGCTAGGCGGCGTGCCCCTGGATTGGCACTGACTCCGAGTTCCATCCACACTGTGCCGGTCTCAGAGGACAGGCAGAGGATGTGTGCACACCTGGCAGGAAAGTGCCAGACTGGGGGTGGGGGGACCCACTGTGCTCTGGTCTTGCTGAGGGTCCGGCACACGGTGTGGCTCCGAATCATCCCCGTGATGACCGCTAAGCCAACCACAGGGGAGGACTCTGTCTGCCCCCCCCTTCTCACCAGCGAGAGCCATCGACCTATGCTCACGGAATCACCCCCATTTTCGGAGGAGGAGGCCGAGGCTCAGAGAGGGTGGGGGAGGTTCCAAGAAGACACAGCCTGGAAGAGGCAGAGGCAGCACTTGATTCCTGTTTACAGGCTCCCGGCCTTGGCTGGCACCTGTCGTGGCCCATTCCACCAGCCCCTGACCCTCCTGCATCTGTCTCCGGGCCCTGGTACCTTTCTGACGGTGGGTGACCAGCAGGACCCGGCCGAAGCGGCCCTGGCCCAGGGTACGCACTTGCTGGTAAAGCTCGTCCACCTCGGCTTGGACCAGGGTCTGGGCACTTAGTGCCATCATGTCCTCCAGCTCCAGGGCTGCCTCCTGGCCCTGCCGGAGCTCCTCTGCCGTGAGGCCCCCTAGGTCCTCCTCAGCTACGTTTTCGGCAGCCCCCGTCTCCTCCTGCTCCGCGTCTGACTGTTTGCCAGGCATCTCTGCAGGACGGAGCAGAGACAGTGACCCAGGGCCCAGGTCGTGCTGGACCTGGGTCTGAGGGAGGAGGGGCTGGGGGCTCATTGGCACTTTCCATTGTGACTCAGTCTCCCTCTTCGTTATGGCATCTGAGGAGCGGGGAGACCAGTTGCTGGTTGGGGTGAGGTCAAGCCTAAGGTCACAGATGTCTCTTGCCCGCACCCCCACATCCTGGCGCCACCCAACGGCCCAAGGGTGAAAGATGAACCAGATAACTCCAGACACCCCCCACCTTGTTTCCAAAGCAAACACACTTGGGCCCTGGGGGTGGATGAGTAGCCTCTTTCTCCTAAGAGCAAACAGGTGCTCTCTGCCTCCAGGGGCTGGTGAGGGCGGCTGCGCACACCAGGGCCTTGGGGGACGCCTGGGCCCCAGATGGGAGCAAGCACTTGGAAGGTCAAGTCCTTGAGATGCCTGGGGTCCAACTCCTACAGCCTCAGCCCCTCCCCCCTCCGGCCCAGGAGCCCAGCCCCCAGCGCTCTCCTCCCTCAGACCCAGGAGCCCAGCCCCCCACCCCCTCCTCCCTCAGACCCAGGAGTCCAGGCCCCCAGGCCCTCCTCCCTCAGACCCACGAGTCCAGGCCCCCAGCCCCTCCTCCCTCAGACCCAGGAGTCTGGACTGCCAGCCCACCCCTCTCCTGGAACCTTATACAACTCACACATCTTATGACTCTCAGACTCTGTCTCTCTAACACTCAACCACTCTACAGCCTCAAAGTTCAGCCCCTGACCCTCTGAGGGACCCAGGACTTTGGCCAGCTGTGCCGCTTCACTATCAGGTGCTGCCCACCTCAGGCTGTTTAACCCTTGCCTCCTCCTGACCAGGGCGCCGACCTCCAAACCTCACCTTCTCCAAAGCTTGCTTGACCCTTCGCTGCCTGCTGTGGTCAGTGCCCAGCACTAGATCCCATGCCAGCAGAGGCTTGCCCAGGAGCAGACCCCGCCCCCACCTAGGGGGTCGTAAGCCCCGCCCCTGGACCCGCCCCTTCTACCCCACTAGGGCCAGAGCGACATCGTGTGTTGACTCCTAGAACTGCCCGCCGCCAGAAATCGGTCCCAGACCCAGGCCCCAGAGCGCCCTCCACTCTCAAACCCAGGAGCCCAGGCCCCCCCAGCTCCCTCCTCCCTC